CTCCTGCAGCTGCTCCAAATAACTGTACAACTTTAGACGCCCATAAGCTGTGGTGAAAGCAGCTATAAAGACGTTGTCTACCTTGTTTGGAGGGGCAATACATTGCTCACCATAACTCCACTGCAACAATGCTGTTTTGTCGTTGACAAAGGAAAAGTATTTAACTTTATATTTTCCAGAAAACATAAAGTTAAAAAACTCTTCAGGGTCAGTGATTAGTTTAGTCTGTGTCTGATTCGAGCGTTGTGCAAATTTCCCCCAGAATGTGTTGAGACATAATTTGGAGACTTGTCTTTTTGCAGGATTCGGATGAATTTTAGACGCATCCAGCAAAACACCCTGATTGGTCTGATAGTCTTTGATGTACTTTTCTCGGGCTGCCTGATCTTTGGCTTCAGGGGGGTAACCTGAAGCTTCCTGTTTACCCTTCAGAAAAGTGTGCATGTACTGAACAAAAATCGAGTCGCTCTGTCTATCAAATTGCCATACCTCTGTGATCTCAGCTACCCGATACCCCATCTCCAAGGCCTTGTTAAATTCAGGAGTGACCCAGACCCCTGTCATCGCTCTGTCCTCATCACTGTGTTGACATGGACCCTCCTGAAAATTAAGTTCAGCGCACGTTCGGCAGAGTGTGAAGACAAGTTTACCAGCTGCAGTTCTATATGGCAAAACAGGAAAAAATAAACCCTGTGGTGGACAGATTTTGGCTCTGATTATTCCAAAGTAGCTTTGGGGTTCTTTGAAATCTTTGTAGATTATTTTTGGGTGCCCCAAAGGATAGGGAAAGTTACAGTTGACATAGGGATACAGCGATGTCACATCAAAGTAGTCTACCGTTTCATTAGCACCCGCAGTGTGTCTCAACTTTACTGCACAGGTTCGACCCCCATACAAAGCTTCGCGGGGTGAGAGAGGTTGAGGAGCTTTATACTGTTTGAGAAAATCTTTTAACCCCTGATGTGATTTTTTCATCTCGGTCCATGTGTGCTCTCTCATGACAATCACTTTAGCATTGTGGATGGCCTGTAACTCACGTAATTTCTCCTCGCTCCTCGCATGCACTCCTCAAAAGGGTGGCCGGTCAAAGGATTGGTCTCATGAGCTTTGAAACAACTCGGACAGCCATGGAAAAAACATCCCAGAAACTCCCATACATATTTCACACCTTGGATCTCTGCAAAACCATCTACAAAGTATTTTCCTAGTTGTTTTTCCCCCTCATTTAAAGCATGTTGAATGAAGATGTTTTCGGTGCTAGCCACCCAATGCAACCACTGAATGCCTGCGTTCGAATACGTTTTGAACTGGCGTGTGTAGTTATGGGTCGGGGATGGCCAAACTTTTAGGAGGAAGGAAGTTGGTCACAAACACTTTCATGCATGCAGATGCTATAGTCGCACGGCTAAAAGGGTCAACCGCTGTTTCATCAATATACTGTTTTCTGAACAGCTTGCATCCCTCTGCGAGAATCTCAACATCGTTTTCACAATAGAGGCGGGCCTCTCTCATGAAATCAAATGTACCGCGGCGCGCCGTCTCGTACCAGGTGTTAAAGTCTTTCAGCTGTACCGTAGTCATGCGTTCTGTACCGTACATTTTTGGCTCCGGGTAGGGACCTGTGTAGGTCAAATGGGCAGGTGAGCTAAAATTATGGGGAAAATAGCCTTTAATTCTGTCATCAAAACCGAGAGCTTTTGGCATATCGGCTAAACGCATGGAAAGAAAGGACAGTGAGTCAATGTATTTTTGATTAAAATCAGGATCTGTCATACAGATGACTTTTGAACCTTGCAAAATCAAAGAGGGTTTTAATGCTTGTTCAAGCATGGCGTTGAGGAGTAGGTAGGAGTCAAAACCTCGAGCATTGTGAGCAATAAACACAGCATTTTTGTACAGAGGGCGTCTGAAATGCATGAGAAACTCGTTGGCACAATTTCTGCCTTGAGAGCTCCATGTTTTGCCATCTAACGTTTTTGTACACACCAAAAAGGGTATGTGAACGCCATTTTCATTGACGTATGTTTCAAAATCATAAAACACCAATTTTTCTGTGTGTTTTGTTTCAGGTGGTAGTGTCTGGATGTAGCATTGGTGCATCTCCTCTTATCTGTAACGTCAGAGGTCAACTTCTCACCACAGATTTTACACTTCACCGCAGGACATGTGTGTGGTTTACCTTCACCACTCATCGCTGAGTAGTAAAGCTGTGCACATTTGTTACATTTTTTGTACAACGAGCACGTGCTGGCTAATTTTTTGGCTCTGGGCCTCTCTGTAGGCTCTTTGTGCTTTGTCAGACAGAATTCTGAACGACATGTCCTGTTACACTCTTTACACACAATAGGCTGGAACCCCTTCTGATTACAGGTAGGGTCAAAGCAAACGGAACAATGAGCAGGGCATCGGTGACTCAGCACACAGTTGTACCCTGTGTAACAGTACTCACACAGATATGGGGAACCCAGAAAGGCCTTTAGATTTTTTATACCATAGTAGTGGTTCTGAAAGAGAAACAAAAATAGGGTTTTACTCTGTCTTGGGCTTTTGGTCATGAATTTACAGAGGGCCCTATCGTCGTCTCCTCTATAAAACACTACAATTTTGCAGTCCAAAGCACGTTCAAATCGCGTGATGTCGCTTAAGGCTACAGGTGTCTGTCATCCATTCCCACTTTGTTTTGAATCTCTCTGCCGCATTCAAGAGCCTGTCTATCGTTGAGGAGGGGATGTAGAAGATGAGCCAGACAGACGGCGAAACACAACTGATTCCCCTCGTTTTCTACAATGTACAGAAAGCGTTGTTTTTTTTTTAAGATTTCGCATTGTAACATTTTATCCACCATTGCTCTTTTACCCGCGCCTGTAGGGCAGGTGATCACTTGGAGAACCAGTTCTAGATCACCATCTGTCATAATGGTCCAATTGGATTGTACTATGCGAAGCAAAAGTCTTTCAAAACCCGCTAAATTGTCAACATCACCATCCTGTAAGATAACTGATACATTATTACGGAGATTTTCACCTCTTAGCTCCAACTGCACCACATCTTGGGGTCTCCTGTGTGACAAGGCTTGTTGTAAAATCGCATCTACCTGCTCCAGTGTACCATTGTAAAACTGAGCATAATCCACTACACCCTCTGCATTGGTTGGAGAAGGAAAGCGCAACACCTGACGTATTTCATAATTACAGAATCTATGTCGTGATATGACTCTTGCTTGAGGTGCCACAGGGTCATTATTTTGAGACACGCTGCCCCCTTGCTGTTGCAAGGGAGGAGTGTTGGCTACCTGCTCCATGAGGGGGGAGTTAATGGGGGTCTGATAGGTCGAGGATGTAGAGGGGTTTAAGGCAGGGATTGCATTATTTTCAAGCTCGGAGAGAGCATTTTGTATTTGAATCAAGAGGTCTGGAGACACAGATGAGTTTAAGACAGGAATATGCTCGGGTTCGGGTAAAGAGGGGATGTTGTTTTGGTGAAAGGGTTCATTCATTTGGTTGATTTCATCTAATAAAGCAGTTGGTATTTCATTTTCTAAGCGTTCCAGATCAACGAGAGCTTGATTTATAGCGTGTAACGGATCTAAGAACTGACTGGAGGAGGTCTCGTTTTCAATTACACTATTTTCAGTTATACCATTTTGAAAGTTTGACTCATTCTGATAATGTTGATCTACCTCGTCTGATAAACTCTGCCTAAGCCCTAACGGTTTGTTTTCATCCATTATCATAAAATCAAAACACACTTAAACCTTAAAACAGACACTATAAAAAACACGATAAACACGTTTATCTAACTATTGCAAGTGAAAATCAACAATAAAAACAATTACCCAATGAAACAAACAAAAAAAATCATTTAAAACAAATTCAGATAAATCACCTTACTAATTATGATCACTGTAGACAGCCAGCATTTCACCCATTAGTCGGAAAGCATTACTCATTAAACTAGTTGTTCATGGGCAGTCCGACAGCAATTCTGACAGCCTCTCACGGATCGTCGGGGTCTGTTTGCTGGAGGGACACAAAAACAAAGACACTTTAACCTCTTTTGTGTATTTTAATACAGAAAGTCAGGCATCACCCCTACAAATCACTACATTAATACTTTATAGCAAACAAGCAAACTAGTTTTTTAACTAATAACTAAATACCCTGAATGTCAGACATCAGTACCAAAACACTGTAGAAGTGCAAAACAAAAACAAACACCACAGTAATAGCCTACTTTATGAAAAGAAGCAAAATAGCTTTTAGAGTCAGGTTAACTCATAAGACTACTTTCTGCATAGAACATTTGACATGCTGTTGTATTTGAGAAAATAGTGTGGAATACTTTTAACTCATTAATTGTATAGCCTAATAATCAGCAACATGGTATCACGGGAAACTGTGTATATAGGCTATACTTTTTTTATGACTGCATATTTGCTAGGTTAATGGTTTTAGAGCGTTATAACAATTTACTTACTGCTGCGACTACTACTGCTACTGCTGGTTGAAATGAGCCTTCTACGGTGTTCCCTTTTCCGAGGTCCGTTGATCGGTATAGGCTCAGTCTGATTCAGCGGCGTACACGGTTCTGCTGGGTCCGGATGAATGATTTCCTCCGCTATCAGTCCCGGCGCTTCTACCGGTGATCCGTTACGTGACCTCCCATCTGCGGCCTGACTGGAGCGCTCTACATCATCGACGGGTGATTCCGGGGACATCCGGCTCATCGTGTTCCGGGGACCCGGTGTTATGTACGCTTGCGGTACCGAAGCCGAGGGCTGATCCGATTCCGGAACCGGACCGTTCTCCTCGTAATGGTAGGGAGAGACCCTGCATAAAGTACCGTTCACAATCGCTCGCACCATCTGCGGGTGTAATGAAAGAAAAGAGTACTGTTACCACATCTGCGTAAAAGTTTGTAAATAAATAAATAAAACCTACACACTGATTAAAAGTTAAGGTAACCTTACTTACCGACTTCTCCTGTGAGATCTACAACCTGCTGATGGAATGCCATTCTCCCTTGTAGAACCTATTTCCTCGCCTGAGTACAAATCTGTAAAAACAATACAAAATACACATCAGGATAGTACACTTTAAAATTTAGAACATTTCTATTTCACTCTAGTACATAGAAGGCCCTCTTACCTTCAAGTTGATATTCGGTTGAATGAAGCCCATTGTCGATCAAGTCAAAAACTGTTAATTGAAAACACGCAGGAATGAAAATACAAAGTGTCGATTTTTGCTATTTCTTAGTTGCGGAGGAAAGGCTGAATGCGTACCGTGTTCTCTTTGAAGGGTCATCGCTCTGGTTTCAGTCACTAGTGTGAAGACCTCTGGATTTCTGGTAGGGTACTTATAGAAGTAAGAAAAAAAAAAAACAAACACACGAGTGCTGCTCTGCATGTGGGGTTGGGGCCCTTACTTCTGGTACAACCAGATTATTATTTAAACTCTTGTCTCCGGCTGATAAAAATAGCTTCCTGTTTCAAAAACGAACTCACGAACTCTGTCTGATAAAACCAGACCGTTTTTTAACATCCGGAGTCTGGGTTATAGATAACCAAAGTTAATAACTGGTCTACAAGATTACCTGAGGATGGCAGCTAAACACACAACACGCCTCATTGAGAAAACAGAGGGAGGTTTCGACTCCCCAACACGACTCGTTGAGAAAACAGAGGGAGGTGTTCCACGACTCCCCAACACGACTCGTTGAGAAAACAGAGGGAGGTGCGGGGGGTGGAGCACATTCCTCAATTCACCCCACAGCCTATGCTACACCAGAATGAGAGAGGACAGAGAAGAGGAGACACAGACTCTAGAAGGATTAAAGTTTTAAGACTCACAAGTTTAAGACTAGGCTACAGCTTTGGAGTGATAATGATGGCAAGTTTGTAAGACAAAGCAATAGCAAAGTAATTTGGAACACTCTCTTATTTTGCTGCATGCTGTTGAAGGTAATTTGTAATGCTGTTTAATTTTTACTCACCGTTATACCATTTTACTGCTTTACTGTCATTATTTCAATTTATTCTTCACTTGTTTACTGATGGTAAGTTTGTCACACAAAGCTTTAGCAAAGATTTTGAAGGTAATTAAAAAATGCTGTTTAATTTTAACTCACTGTTATACTATTTTACTGTAATTATTTCATCTTATTCTTTAGTTCTTAATGATGGTAAGTTTGTCACACAAAGCTTTAGCAAAGATTTTACAAAGTTTAATTTTGGAACTCACTCTTATTTTGCTGCATGCTGTTGAAGGTAATTTATAATGCTAATTTTTACTCACCGTTATACCATTTTACTGCTTTACTGTCATTATTTCAATTTATTCTTCACTTGTTTAATAATAAAGACTGACTTGATTCCAAAGAAACCTCCTACTGATCCTTTGCTGGCCCCGGAGATTCCTCCTTTTACTTATAACTCACTGCTATACTTTTTTAATGATAAATTTATTGTCACAAACACCTCCTAGTTAATTCATTCAAGTTGTATTACTTAATAAAGTCTTTAAATCAATGAAAAACACACAATGGAAGGATGTACGCAACCCTCTTATCAGTTACATACAGACATATTTCCGGTTGGGGCGGGACAGGATGCACCCCCTCTTATCAGTTACATACAGACATATTTCCGGTGGGGGGGACAGGATGCACCCCCTCTTATCAGTTACATACAGACATATTTCCGGTTGGGGCGGGACCGGATGCACCCCCTCTTATCAGTTACATACAGACATCCGGTGGGGTGGGGGGACCGGAAATAGCTGTCAAAAATGAGTTTGATGGAATGTAACTTATAATTCTCTCTCTACATCATATGGTGTCTTGACTTATAACAAGTAATTTAAGATTATTGTTTATACAATGAGAGAACAGCATGATAACTTGGGTGACTTTGTAAAACAATATAAGCTATCAGTACTTTTCTGTGTACATATATGTATATAGGAATGTAAGGAATAAAATACAATAAAAGTAGAATCAGTTAAAAATTCTATGTAT